GAAATGTTTTTTTTTTTGCCCCCCCCCCCCCCCCCCCCCCCCCCCCAATTCCTTTCCATTTAAAATCAATAATTTTCGCACTTTGCTTCATTGAGAACAAGTGTTTATGACTATGCGTTAATTAATTTCATTAAACTTTTGGTATGGTGGACCAGATGAGAGAAAACAAACTTGAAAAAAATTACTTGATCAATAGAGGTAGACTCTCTCTCTCTACAATGATCTTGTCCACAACAATTTTCTCTGTATAACAAATTGCTGTTTGGCCCCTTGAGGTTCTCTCCCCTTATTTTTGGTTCTAAAAAAAATTATTTTTACAATGAATTTCTTCTTGGTCTCTTGAATCTTGTTGTATCCAGAATCCACCTGTGATTCAAACATCTCGCCAGAAAAAGGTGAAAAGCTTGACTTGGCTCAAATGCAATGCCAAGTCAATTTATTCTCAATCATTATTATTCAAATGTTGAAGAAAACAGTGGCATTTTAAATATTATTCAAATGTTAACCTCTCTGATGTGATCATTTAAGAAAAAAGTAGCATTTTAAATGTACAAGTAGAGAGACAATTTTAATTAAATTGTAATACCTCAAAGCAATTGCAGGTGGCAAAAATAAAAAAGTGCTTAGAATATTCAACTTAATGTTTTCTGAAATTGTGAGCAATACTTTCATATTGTGGTAGGAACTGTTTTTTGAAAAATTTGATGGAATTAACTTTATGATTGGGAAAATGTCCAAGGAGGAAAAAGTCAATTTCAAGCACTTCCAAAATGATTTATTCTGAGTTGTGAGACTGACTGTTGTAATGTCCACAGAGTATTGATAAAATTTTGCAAAACAGTATGTGTTACTTCTCTGAAGTAAACATTTTCATTGTTCACCTATCAATTAAGAAAAAGAAAATAATGCTTTCCTTATCTTGCAGTCATGATATTTTTCAAGTGCATAGCACATCCCACATACTTTTTTCAAAAATTTAATTGCCTTGTTTGCAGATATTGTGCTTGCTTTTTTATGCAGCATACAGTATACCTTCAGGTTCAGGGCAAAATCATAAAAGAAAAATTAAGCAAGCCTGTTTTGAATACTGAATTGATATCCCACGAAGAGCAATTTTTTTCCTGGATGTGAGCTAGGACAAGGTGAACTTTTTTGTTTTAATAATGCAATATATTAAATTCAAGAGTGTAGGGTACACATCATGTATCCACTTTTTTTTTATAAATATACAGTACAGTAGTCAATGATCTTGCTACACCGCCTTGGCGAAGAGAAGCAACGGGAGGCAGCAGGAGGAATTCTCAACTGTTCCTGCCTGTGCTGCTGGTTATTGGGCAATCCCAGCTGAGGCTGTCATTTTGCAACCCTTAGCTTCCTGTTCTGTTGAGATTGTGCTGTCTAAAATCTGCTTTAGCATTGCAACTGCATTGTCTTTCCACACATTTTAAATTGCAGGGCTATTATCCCCATGCAATGCTGTGATCCTGAATTTGTCTTTTTAAAAAAAGGTTGCTCTTGCACAGAATGCAATCAAACACATGCAATTTGGGCATGAAGGAATTGAATCTTCCTCCAATTGAACATTGGTAACTTCACCTGAGTGTATTCTGGTGGACAGAATCTTTAAAGAAAAACATTGGCATTACAATAATGGATTAAGATGTGCACAATGTGGTCACTTCATGATCAATACTATTATATACACACAGGAATTTCAGGGAAACATCAGATGAACTGACTGCAGCACAAGATATGCCAGAAATAAAATCCTCAAATAGGAACTCCTTCTCCTTCACAGGATCCTGTCATATAAGAAATAATATCCCCAGAGTTTGGTGATAGTACTGTACAGCATTTTCTCTTTGCATCTGCATACAGTACAAAAACAAAGTGATTCACATTCACAAAGCAAAAGCACCATCACTGTAAAACCCTCCATAAAACAGGAAGCCCACATCTCCACTCACAGCAGGTCATCCATAAAACATGGAGGAAGTAGCCCAAATTCATTTCTCATGGAATATAGTTGAATAAACACCCTTTGGCACGCCAAACCATGGGCCATCTGACCAACTGACCCACTTCTTATTCAAATGAACGCAACTCCTAAGTTTCGCGTGACATCAATGCATGAGAAAGGATAACAAGAGCAGAAGTTATTTTTAGAAAGCTCCTAGGTGTCGCTCTGTCCAACGATAAGTTCCTTGTTTCGCTTCTGAGGCAGCGACCTCTGTGAAGCAGAATTGGGTGAGTTTATGAAGATAAATACTAGGTGTCAGTAGGCATCACCACAAGCCTTCTGAAGTTTTTTCTTAAAGAAACCAGATGAGAAAAGTCAGGGGTTCTGTTGAGAAAAAAAAGTGGCATTTCCCCTCCCTTCAATTAGCTGCGATTTCTCCAATTGTTTGTCTTAATCATTGAAATTTCTGAAACATACTAGGGAAGAACACAGGAAGGTTCTGCGATTTCAGGATGGGCAGATCTGATGCAGGACCGACTGTTCATGTGCGCACCAGACGTGATCCTGTGGTTGACTTTTGCAGGAACTGGTGTCCACCACTTGTGGGGGATGGGAAGAGGAAAACTGTGTACATGCGCTTTGGGACATTCCTGGCTCTGCCCTTTGCGCTCTGTGCTGGTGTGCAGCTAAGCTCTTTTTTCCCCATCATTTACTTCCCAGCCACAGAGATGAAGATCTGAAGCACATTTTATGTCTTTAACCCAAAAAACATAGTTCATTTGTGCTCACAGACAAATTGAAATGACTGTATTTGACTCAGAAACCTCTCTTGGCCAAACCTTTCAAGTCAAAATTTTAAAGACCTCTTACTGTTTGTTAAACTTCAACACCTATAAATCAATAGTTGAAAAGTATTTTTTCATGCTCTCCAGAAGGGATTAAGCATCTTCCTACAAGTAATACTACAATTAATTATGACATTTCTGATAATTTGGCCAGAAAAATGCCAGTCAATTAACCTATCCAAGATCAAGTCATATCAGCTTGAGGTGAACATTTTCATTTCAAGTTTTGGAGTTCTTTCAAATTTGTCTTTAAAACCAACTGCATTAAATGTTCATGACAGAGTTTCCCTCAGTTTTTTTAAAAATAGGAATCTATGAGAAAAGTATTTTATCAACAAATTTTAAATATTGCTGCTGGAAAATAAATAGTGGCTGAATTTTCAGAAGATATCTTCATGCACAAACACTTTCTCAGCATCAAGTAATCTTTCCTCCCTTCAGAGCATCACCTTTGCATGCATCCTCAATGAAAAAAATCCCAGTTTATAATTAATTTCTTTGATCTAATATGTTGCTAGACAAAATAAAGACAGGGTTCATTAATTTCCCCCTCAGGATTATACTTCCACCACAACAGAGGTCCTTCTGAAAAGATGAAACATTACTACAAGAGGCTGGACCAGATATATGACTATGATGATGATGAACACACTGAATCAGGATGGAACAAGTCCTCATGGTTCCTGCTGACAATGTCAGTACTTGTAGTGGTGGTCTATGCCTTCAGATCAGTGATCAGAAGAAAGCCAGAGTTGATACCTGGGTCAGGAATAGCAGAAGGTCTCAGACAATGGGCTACACCATCTCCATCAGCAAATAGTCCTCTGCCACCCAGTGGGGACACAGTGACAAACCTTGGATTTGGGGCAGGACAAACTTCACCAACTCTTTTGAACCCTGAGTTTCACCAGAGGAGACTAGGGTCACTCAACTCCCCTGGGTTTCCAGGGCAGAGACAAAGAGTTCCCCATTCATACATGGGGATGTGATATTTTTTATGTATTACTTCTTTATCCACTGGTTTGTGTATTCAATGTGGGTATTTCCTGTGACTCATAACCTTACTCAGTGGGTGGAAACTTTGGTCCAAGGGGTTCCTTTTGGTTCCTCTCCAGGGTATGCCAAACCCTGGACAACTTTGGATGGCAACTTTGATTAAAGAACTAAGACCACTTTCATTTGCACAATACTTCCTATTTTACCTTGTTTTACAGATCCTTCATTGTCCAAATTTACTTGATGAAGGGTTCCAGGACTCCCATCAACACAAGCAATCTTGGTTACCTGTCTTCCTTCCTGCTCAATGCTGATGTATTCCTGTCCACCCTCCAAGAGTTTTTGAGTGAGAGAAGGATTGCAGTTAGTGGAATCCTTTTTCCAACAGTGGTCTTTGCTGTGGTAACACTACTGGAAGAAAAATATTTGTCTGCTCACTGGAAAAACATCATCATCCAAATACTGATACCCTTAACCTGCCTCCTCACAACTTTTGCATTCATTGCTGCCAGATCAGGGCATAGTGTGGATTGCAGCAACTGCACACCAACAGCAGTATGAAAATCCACCTATTTGTCTATTTTGTGCCTGAGGGAAAATTGTCATCTTGATTTCACATTAAATCCATTTCATTATTGGCCAGTAAAAAGTGGAAAACATAACAGCACTTTCTTGAGGCTCCAGGAAGAATTCAGGGCAGTTGAATCAGCAGATAGAGCATCCCTCTATGATTTGTCAATCAGTTTTTTTTTGTATTTGCTTTTCATTTACTTCAAAATAAATATGTGAAAATTTACTTTGGTCAAACTTTCTTGCCAATGGATGTTGGTCAAGTGCAAATTAACTAATGCTGGAGTGGTATCAATATTGTAATTAAGAACTGATAAATTATGTAAATATTTTCTCATTTGACACCTATTCAATAAAACCTTAATTGGAGACATCACTTCTTTTATGATTTTGAAAAGGGGAGTCACCTAAAGCAGTTATGATGAGCATGTGTGGGAGATGCAAGGCTAGGCTGGAACACCTATGCCCCAGGTGCTATGGACACTGGCAAAGTCAACACCAGCAATGGCATGCCCCTCATGATCAACTCCACAATAACTGTCACAACTTGAGGGAAGAAACAGCTTCAGAGACTGGAGAAAAGTATGTACTAATGCATATTGTGCAATACACATGTCAATGAAATTAGTTAATAAGAGCTTTTAATTGCAGAACACCAGTGACTCTGGATGATACTGTGGATCAGGAACCTGAGCTCTGTGATGCTTGTCACAATGTGTTTGAGCCCTTTGACACCCCAGTGAAGAAGGAAGAAGGCTGTGGGTGTGGTTGTGGGAAGAAACCATCTTCCAACAATAGGAGCCACTCAATAATGAGTACCCCTGTCAGCAATTTTCTTGGAATTCAGAAAATGGATCCAATGTTCAACTTGCCAGGCCAAGGCCAAGTCATATCCTCAATTCAAAGCTTCCCTATGGACAAGCTTGGGGAACTTGCTGAGATCCTGACTCCAGAGCAAATAGCAGAACTGTGTTCAACTATTGGAATTGGAAATATGTTATCTATCCTAAAATCCTCTTGCAACATTTCTACTTTAGCTCAACTTTTCTTGGACTCAGGTATGTATTACAGTTGGACTTTGATGTGCCATTTTCAGGTGTGCATTTATATAAGAGAAACACATAACCTGCTTGTGTAATTTAAGTTAGAGCATTTTATTTCCCCTCCAGATTGTTGAACACTGAAAATCCACCAATGATTCAAGCATTGCATTTCAAACAGCAAGGAAATATCCAACAATTTTATTATAAGAAAATATAGTTGTCATCAAATATTGGCCATAGTATCCTAAATTCCATCAAAGCAATGCATTTCTGATAAAATTTCCAGCAATAATAAGGTTAATTTCATGTGAAGTTCATAGGGATTTCTGAGACTGGACTGGCAAATTAAAAAAAAAAAAAGTAGCAGACCAGCAAATCCCTTTGAATTTTTCTGCAGACTAGCAAAGCTTCATACTTTTTTCAGACCAAAAAAAGTTTTGCTCGAACAAGTTTATGACAGGTATTTGAAAAGAGTCTGCTTTTTGTTTGAAAAAAATTGAATATCATTGAAGCAGCTATCCAGCAAACTGTTTTCAAAAAATTCAGAAGGTGGGCTTCAAGAAAGATTCCTTGGGATGAAAAGATCAAAATAGATTATTTTGGCATGAAAAAATTTGTCTGAAGTGTTAAGTTGAGTGAAAAGTCAACTTTTATTTCTCCATGAGATCATTTAAACTGCAATTGTCTTTGAGAAATTTTGGATGAAGATAATGTAACAGACTTCATTGCTACTTTTGATAATTTCATCATGATATTTCATACCTTTTTGGAGTGTGGAAAAGTTAGAAAAAAATGTGCAAAACTTTTTTTTTTAAATGCTGGTCTGCAAAAATGTTTATGGAAACTTGCCAGTCCACAGGCCCAAAAATGTTGAAAATACTGATCTAGAATATTCTTAGCTTGTATAATTTCAAGTTATTTTTGCACTGAGAAAGTGCCCAGGAGTAATACATGGTTAACATTTTTCTCTGACAGCTAAAGAAGAATTGGTGGCAGTAGTAACACAGGTTGATCCAATGGAGACAGTGGAGCTCTTGAGCCAAGGACCAGATCTTTTCAAGGTCCTGCTATCATCTTTGGGTTCTGCCAGTCTTGTGCACTGCCTCAAGGCTTTAGGAGGGTCAACTTTTGTAAATTTGCTGAGAAAACTGACTGTGCATGGAGTGACAGCCATGATGGCCCACCTGGGAACAGCGCTATTCATAAAATCTGTCACAGGCATGGGGGCAAATGCTATCGCAAATGTCATCAAGTCACAGGGCATTGAAAAAGCAGCAGAATATATCAGACTAAATGACAGAGTAATTCTCCATGACAGTATGCCAAAAATTCCAGAAAAGGAGGCTCAAGCTGAGGAGGCAAATAACAGGAAAAGCACTTGCGATTCAAAAGAATCAAATCAGTTTGATGTGGACAATAACTCCCAACAGGAAGAGTAAGTTATTTTGTCTGGACTGATTTTTATCAGAGAGCACAAAAAAAATGAGTAATAGATGAAGTAAGGAAATCTTACTCTCAACAACGCATCATAATACTCTACACCTACTTTTCTTGTGTATTCAATGAAACATATAGTACTTATTACACTTTTATATCCTCTATAATTATTATTTTCCATTAAAAATTCGTTCAGAACTTTTACAGACTTTCAAAAAATGTCATACACAGTCCTATACTTGAATAGCACATTAATAGCAGATATTTCAATGATTGTGAATTTGGTTAATTTTCCTTGAAAAGCAACAAAGTACATCTGAATCATGTTTTTCAGAAATGTGAACAAGTTGGTGTCAAATCCAACAATAGCTGATTCAACTTCTCAGCCTAAATTGGAAGTAATAAAAGGTAAGCACAATTAATACATTTTTGTAGTATTTTAATAAATCCCAGCAGATTTTGACATACATTTCAGAATCCACTTGAAGTGAATTCTGCAAGAAAGCTGACAATTCCGGGAAGGATCACAATATCAACATCTACATACAGTGTGGACAAATAAAATACATGAGGATGCGCCATATTGTGTATATTATGCTCTTGAAACATGTTCAAGAAGATGGAATAAATTGTTCCAAATTGTTTCAATCCTAACTCAAAACATTTCATTCCCAAATCATTCCTTGTTTGTTTTTGTGGAGTTCTTTGAGGGTTGGGGATTTTCATCAGCTTTAAATGCTAGATTATTTGTGCTCAGGGCTTTTATCCTTTCTTCTTGTTGCCTCTTGAGAGCCATTTGCTGCTCCCTCAAAATCCTTTTCTTTTCTTGCATCTTTGTATGCTTGTCCAAAGCAATTTTCTTGTACTTTGCCAAAGCTTTGTCCATCAGAGCTGGATCACTTTTAATCTGTTCTGACAGAAACAGCATGTCCAAGTCAGCACTGAGGCACTCCACAAGTGCCCCAGCAAGCAGTTGCAGAAGGACACAAGTGCCCTGGCACAGCTCACTAAAACCTTGATGCATGATCTTCAAAGATACATCATGGGTAAGGCAATACAGTCTTATGGCTCATTTGAGGGTTGATTCATTCTTTATCAATGCACTCACACATCTTAATCACAATAATTAATATTGCTTCCATGTTGAGGGTCTGCTTCAAACACAGCAGTGGCACTTCACAAAATGAACACCCTGCAGAATGGACAATCTGCACAACTAACACTGCTGGAAACACCCATTTACAAATCACAAAATGAACAATCCTTCACTTATGAAAATAACCATGCATTCTGCAAAAAAAACACATTTCACCATTTTTTGCACATGGAAATTGTGTTTTGAATGTAACATACACCTTGAATATAAAGAACACACTCCTGGATGGAATTGCATTTGTTTTGCCAGATAACACTATATGATGAAGAATACAGTACTATACAACCAAATCTTCTTTTGAAAAAGCCATCTGGAAACTGAAAAAAGACTTCACTGAAGAGACAATTCCCTTAAATAATGTTGAATAACATTGCTGCTATTGGACACAGGGACTTGAGCAAGGCAGAGAGCCTTGCTGACATGCACAGAAAAATATGGGAACTTCCATTTTACCTTACCCTACCACCTCACACCTTTCTGCAAATGTGTGAGCAAAGCTAAAAATTACTGTATGATATTACCACTGAAACATACATCAAGTAAACTCACATCACCAAGGTATCACTTGTATCCACACAGTGAGACCCCAAGATGTGGACATTATAAGTACATCAAGATTAACATCATGTCCTTAAGTCAGGTCTTGTTTCCTCTTGTACCACAACACTATTGTATTTTATTGCTTCTCCTTTTTTCAAAAATTAGAAATAAGTCCTAAAAATGCAATAAAAATTTTTCTCCTCAACTTCAATAAGTAGTAGAAAACAAAACCACATAGAATCTGATCATTTGGTATCAAAAGGAGATGAAAAGGCAAAAGAAAAAGTTTTGCTGGAATATGAACAAAATCATCTTGCTTTTTATTATGAATTAGAAGGATTTCATCATGTACTATTTTGTTAAATTCTAAATTACACAAAACCACATAGAATCTGATTATTTGGTATCAAAAGGAGAAGAAAAGGCAAAAGAAAAAGTTTTGCTGGAATATGAACAAATAAATCATCTTGCTTTCTATTATGAATTAGAAGGATTTCATCATGTACTATTTTTTTAAATTCTAAATTAAACAAAACCACATAGAATCTGATTATTTGGTATCAAAAGGAGAAGAAAAGGCAAAATAAAAAAGTCTTGCTGGAATATGCACCACATCTGCTTGCTTTTTATTAAGAATTGGAATGATTTCATAATGCACTATTTTTAAAAAATTTTCTGAATATAAATAGCTCGATTTGTTCCAAAGATATCAAAATTATAAAAAAATGTTGCAATTTATGGGGGAAAATTTCAGAAAAGTGTCCACAAGTCAAATTGTCCATATGTTGGGGGTCTCACTACATATGAAGTCTCGCACTGGATATTCACAGAGATTGACATCCGCATTTTGATACCATATCACAGAGCACAAGGAGAACAAAGTCGCAAGACTGCAGTTTGACCGCCTGGCAGAGAACTTCGCATCCGCCTTACACGACTTCCAAGAGTACCAAAGAGACATCGTGACGCAGGAGCGGACCAAGTGCGAGGAGAACCGATGCTTTCTTTCCGGCGACACCGGCACCAGAGCACCACTGGTGGACCATCACGAACCATCGACCCTCCAACACGAATTACTCCTCGACAATGACACGGAGTCCCTGGAAGAACGACGATTGGCCATGCAGAGTCTAGAGCGAGAAATCCGAGAAGTCAATGACATTTTCAAGGACCTCGCGACCCTGGTGCACGAACAGGGCGACGTCATGGACAGCATCGAAGCTAGTATCGAGACCGGTGACCTGAACCTGGTCCGGGGACTGGACGACCTGGAAAGAGCGAGAAGGAAAGCCAACCAGCGCAGGACCCGCAAGGTCATGATCTTTGGAACGATCGCCGGCGTTCTGGCTTTGGTCATAGTTGTTATTGCCTTTGGTTCCTGATCCGAAAAGCCAAAAAATATCATCCCTTTCTTTCAACCCCAGAGGTTTTCTTCCTTCATGCAAACACACACACACACACACACACACACAAAATCTCGTTTCTTTCCCTTATAATCTGATTCAACCAGGGTAACACATACAACAAGACCCCCAGATGCTGACAAAATTGGTGCATCAAGAGTGTCCCTAACTTGAATTGCCCTTAAGTCGAGTCTTTTTTTTCCATAGACTTACATTATATAATTTTTAATTGGTGTTTTGTGGAAGAAATATTCTTCAGAATTCCATGAAAAAAAATAGTTTGCCACTCAAATTTTATTCAGTGAATATATTTTCAACTCAATAAGAACATTTGGAGCATTCAATAGTGTATCTCTGTACTGTATATTGAAATTTTGACATCTACAAAAATAACATTCAAGTCACAAAGAGAGAAGGAAGTCCCTCTATGCAATAGGTAATTTTTTTTAATTAGCTGAATGGATGGGAAAATCATCAGAGAAATGACAAAGAATTTTTCATGCATAAATCTTAGGGTTGGAAATATCTGTTTCTTGCAATCAAGCCAAATAAATGTCAATTTTTGTGAAATTTATTGGCAATTTTATCATACAGTGTCCTCATGTTGAGTCAGTGTCCATATTTTGGGCATTATTATTGAAAAATAACTGTCCCTATGTTGAATTGTCCTCATGTGAAAGTGTCTGCATGTGGGGGTCTCACTATTTTCTTTGTCAATTGATGAAGTTTGTTCCTCAATTCATCTTGGCATGAATACTAATCTCAAAAAGTAGGATCATTCATTTAAAAGAGGCTTGAGTCATTGGTGAAGAAAAACTGCGGCACCAGAAATAGTTGCGACATTCCCAAAAGCTGATAAGGCATGTCTGGTTCTTTTTCCTGCCTGCTTTATTTCAGACATTATTTTCCTGCGCCTTTCTTCATTGAGCAGGTTCAATGAGTGCTGGCAAGGCTGCCAATGCGTTGTGTAGACTGCTGGGGAAATTTGCAATACTGTACAGTAAGGTAGTTTCAGTAAACTCAATTCAAATGCATGTGTAATATGTGGAAAAAATATCATCTTTTTCCACTTTGGAGACATAGTCTTTTGACTCTTGATTGACAAATGTCAATCTAGCTATCTTGTCCGGAAGCTTACTTATTAAATGACAAGCACAATTCTATCAATCTTTTTTTTTAAACAAACAGCCAAATGACAATCTCAAGCATCATAAGCATGAACAGTACTCATCAGTAAAGAGTTAAGTCCTTGAACTCTACATGATGGCTGAAAATTTGTCAATTCCTTTGTCTGGGATCCAAAATGAGTCCCTGACATTTTATGCCAGCAGGGTGGCCATCTTGCGATCTCTGATATGCCAAACATTATTGGTTTCTTTGATGCTACAGTTGAACATCTCTGAATCAAAATTTCAAGGGACCAGCAAAAACATTCTCAACTCAGGGAGGTTTTGAGTTAGGGAAACAAGCATTTTTTCTGTGAGAAACACAGAAGCATTGCAGTAGGGAATTGTAAACAGAGATATTCTGGGCTGTGAAATTACTTCTTGCATGAGTTGTCAGGATGCTGAACTTGGAAACAGGGATTCATTTTGATCCTCATTTAGTTTTTCACTTCCATTCCAAACACATCATCACTTTTTCTCTTTCTCTCTATCCATTGTCATTATAATATAGGAATAAAAAACAAAACAAAAAGTACCACAGAAAATTTGAGTTATGGAGGTTTGAGGGGATAAAAGGCTAGGATATGTTTTCAATACATTTTTTCTCAGGTAATTCCGATAGGGGCTTGAAAAGAAAATGCGACTTGGAGATACACACACACACACACACTTTATTATTCCTTGTCAAGCCAACATCAATTTCCGCCACGCACCGACGTTGGCAACACTGGTCTTGTTCCCACGACACTCCTGAGACGCAGCTCCTTGAAAACGGCAGCAGCACCAGGTGCTGATCCGAGCCGCTATATAGTGCTCGGGTGCCCATGGTTCAGAAATAGAAAACATGTGAACTCTCGGGATGATGAGAAATGCTTCTTTGCTCGGAGTGCGTGTGTGTATGATGGAAGCTGCGTGATAGGAGCAACATACAATAGGGCACGCATCAAGCAAAGCAGTCGTCATGCGGCCGATGGTGCGGATCCTAGTGCGGCCCGGGTTCAGTTATTGGTGTCGGCTTCCAGCCGCATCAGTGCAGGTTCTTCTTGTTGTCGTCGTTGTTGTTGTTGAGTGCATCCCGAACAGGAACGCAGTGAACCTTGCGCATAATCACTTCGATGAATCCCCATCATCGTCGTCGTCACTCATCATCGGTCACGGTGAGAGATTCTTGCGCACTTTTCGTCCATCATGAACCAGTGCATCAAAATCTTCTCGTCATATAACGAGTCATTCAACACACACGATCGTTGATACTTCAGATTAAGGCAGATATGAAGCGTTGTTGGTCCTGTATTTCACAACTGCAATTGATGACAGAGATCTTATTGTTTCCTCCGGTAGGGTACCCAAAAATCACAGGTAACGTCGACTATAGGGTTATTCTTCCGTTGTCATGTGCATATTCACGGTAAGCTTCGACACACATGTGTCAATTCACCTATTCTCGATGAAAACGTACAATCCAAATTCATTATCACGCTCACTTTGTAACTATCAATTCAGAATTTTCGAAGGTCACTTACTTGCTTCGCAGATCTTGCACTGCGAATGATTATATCATTCATGTGACATTTCAATTGAAACGGAACACGGATAACTTCCACCGAACAATAACGATTCGTTTATTGTAACCGCGAAGTTCATAGGGATGAGTTTCGGTACTTGAAGATTCACTATATTCATAAAATCACTGAAACGCGACATAAATTCTCACTACCTTTGAAAGTTAAAATGCAGCATTTTCGAAGGTCACCGCCTAGAGTCGTTCATGATTGAAACGGAACATTGATAACTCTCACAGAGAAAAAGTGACTTTAGTTTCACGAAATCGCGTATTTCACGGATAGCTTCGGCACATCTGATATTCACGCATTCACTTTTCATAAAATAGTTGAAACACGACACGATTCACCTACACTTGAATCCCAGACTTTTCTTACTTGCGACTCTCGAACACTTACGGTACTTGTTTGGAAGACAAAGGAGTTCGATTCATCACATGAGAAATGAACAAGGATGAGATCATTCCTGAAAGTTTTGTGATCGAAGCATCTTATTTCTGGAGCACAAAAAATAGAGGTGACTACGACTATATTCAACGGTTGCATACAGTACAGTATCATATTTCCATGACTCGATTAACGAGCAGTGTTCGCGATGATTTGATTCGTTCTCTTTTAAATTTCATGATAAAACACACAGTAAATTCACACTCGAAAACCAGGAACAATAAGGAAAGCTATGCTCAGAACTACTGTACAGTATCACGAAAATTGACTCACTTCTTCCGGCAAGTCCGCTCCAAATACGATGGAAGAGAGAATTCCCGCACGTACGACTTCAATTTTCTTGTAGGGCAATCACAGTTCATGCAGCCTACTGTCCGAAGCAGGGTCCACTTTGCGAAACAAGCAACAGCGACTACTGGAAGATTCCTTCATGCAACCATCAGCCCATCGTCTGAGGCGTCCATTACAGCTGCATTACTAACGCTTGCCGAGCAGCCCAGGACGCAAACAACAAACGCTCCAACAGCATCAACCGCTTCCCATGCAGGTAAATTTAGCAGCCGAATTTGCATCTTGGATCCAACTCTGACGTTTCTTGGAGATCAACGATGCTTTGTCACGTGTGAAAAACTACACCGCGTAACACACAAATGTGAGGCATCAATTCCACTACAATCTTCAATTATTCAGCCTCCGCGATTCTAAGATTCACCGTGAAGTTTCGAAAGAAATTCGAGTTCTTTTATCACACACCCCGAGACACAAACTGTCTACAGTGCCATTTTTCAAACATCTGCACACTTCTGTAGATGCAAATCTTTGACCAACTTCACATAACGTCACGAAAACCACGTCACCTCGCAATCTCTTATCCTGCAGATAGCGCATCAATAAGGTGCTCGAAGATACCTGAGGATAAAGCTATCAAAGTCATACTCACGTGGACGGGTACACGATAAAAACTTTCCAATCTTCATATGAACCAGCATTTCGCACACAAATCTGCAATGTAATTTTTTCAAAAGCAAACCTTTATACGCGCAATTCATCTGTGAGTCACTTCACAGCACAGGGCGCATGTTACGGCATCGAAATGAATTTTTCAGAAGCACTGCTCAAAGTTTTCGAGTGCACGACTAAATCATCAATATCTTTATTTTACCTGGCATTTCGCACGTAAAGTTGAAAGAAAATTTACACTTTGATTCCACACGTGAGTCATTTTTCAAATACGAAGTTCGCGTATATGTACTGTAAACCATGTACTGTATACATAACTGATCGCTCATAGGCTCGGGCCTGTTCTCATCATGGACGAAACTGGATTAAATATTCATTACTTGTACAGCATACCGAATTTGCGTCAGACATCGATGCATGTTGAAGTTTTGAGGGCATGCGTTGACGATGAGAAACGAGTTATGGAAAAAAGAGATGCGCTCTTTCACAGGCGAACAGCACAACGTGGACCACGCAAGTCTGCGGAAACAGCGTTTGATCCGCGCGAGGGCGCACCTTAAAAGCTTTCGTTCTAAAGCGGGAGTCCGAAAGTTGTCGCCCAACTCGCTCAGGACTGCCTCACCAGATGAAGCCAATGCTGTAATCATGTCACAGCGACTGTTGGCAAGGTACAAGAGAGGAATTTTGCATGACCTGCGTACCCTGTTCAAGGATGGCAATGAGCTGCAGCCCCTGCAGTATATCAATAATGGGTCCATATTAAATGAGGATAATAGACCTGCGGTGGCCTCTGAGGGCCTCCTCAAAGTGCTGGGGGATGAGCTGCTGAAGCAGAGGGATCCTGAAGGGAACTATAATTTGATGACGCATGTAACCCAATGATTGAAACTTATTGTGGATTTCTGATTGATATGTTTAATTATGAATCTCATAGGAACCCTTGGAACTAGATTCAAATGATGCTGAAGCCAAAGAAGAGGACTCTGGCTCAAACATGAAGCGCTCTGTAGAAAATTCTAATGGTCAATTCTTCCCTGCCTTGGTATTGATGATGCCCATGCTTAACAACTCAACAGAAACCTGCATGACTACCCAGTCTGCAAATATTGAGCCATCAGAGCTCAGAGATCCTGTCAGGGATGTGTCTTCCAAGAGCATCACTAAGCGGCAGCCAGAGCATCCAAGCAGGCTATTCATGCCTGTGGACAATAGGCCCTTAATGGACTTTATTGAGCCATTGTCAGAAACTGTACACTATCAACAGCCTCAGTCAGACAGGACAAGTTGCAGGTCAGATTACTGCAAGGACCTCATGAATACCTTGCTGGAGAAACAAAGAGCTGAGATGCTGCTGCTGTCCAAGAAATTTCAGAGGTCCAAGTAAGTCACCATCATGCATGAAATTAATGCATATTCCAGTGCATTTGTATTCTGATGCTGTGTATTCTCAAATGATAGGGAGAGGTTACTGGAGAGACAAGCAAAGGAGAGGCACTTGATCTTGAGCAGCATAGACAAGGATTGCTGGGAGGAGCCTGTGAAGCAACAATTCATTGTCAACTCATCCACAACAGAAGCACCGCCCACCACCTTCGTGACCCCGCCCACACAACCCTTAGCCACAGCCCTGCTCGCATTCCCTTTCCTGAATGCCACTGGGTCCGGACACCCCCACGCAATCCCAATGCTGGCGAATCTCGCCTGGACTTCTCAACAGGTGTCGCCCCTGACGTTCACGCAGGCAATAAACACCACGACCATTTCGTCGGCGGTGGTGCCAAAGAAAAAGAAAAAGAAGCGCAGTGGTTCCGGGAAGAAAGCCATGGAGGAGAAACGCACTAAGCGGGAGATAAGCATTGGAACAGAGAGGGAGCCACAAGCGTTGCGCACGGCCCTGGATGCTAGTCACAGGAACTACAGCAGCTCTGCAATAGCGAAAGTCATTCGGAGGGCATGAGGATGACCCATAAGCGAGATAAACAGCAAGATTTACTTTCTTTGTCCTGTCCCATGTGAATGAAATGCAGTGTTATTATTCACTTCAACCACATTCTTATTCACTTCAAGAATTCAGCTGATATTCCTGCACACATGGTGATCATCACACATGAAGCATGAAACAGCATCATATAGCAGTCATCATCACTATAAGTTTATCTTGTATGATGGGTTTTGTTTTTAAATGCAGGTGGTTGATTTGTGTTTGAAGGCTCTCATTTTGAAAGGAGTTTAAAGCCCATGTTTAATGTGTAATTTTTTACTTGCTGATAGTTGTAAGTAATGCACCTTGCACTTTTGATGAGACCAAAAACGGTTCATTCTTGCACATTGAGTAATTGATGGCACATATGCCTCTCATTACAATAAGCTATAATTTATTTCCAAGTATTAACCCTTGCTCATCAGTAAAATGGGAAAACCTTATGTAGGCTGATCAGGTATGCACTGTTGGAGGTAAGAGAGTTGTCAAGAAGCAATCCCCTTGATCAAATGCCATCTGACTAGCACATACTCCACATTTATCTTTAGCCAGTCCATCAAAATTGCCAGCAACCAAATTCTTTGCCCTTTGGGCCACCTTTTGGCCCTGTCAACCTATTATACTTTTTAATTGTTGGTGGACGTGACTTGGACATACATCAGGTGAGGTTCTGAGAAAGAAGGCTTTGGTAAACCTTCAGGTGGATTCCCACAGCAGTTCTGCATTTTATCTGTGCTAGTTATTCAGGGAAAATCATTGAGTGAATTTTTCAGGTAGACCTCCCTACATTCTGATACTTATGTACTGCACTGTATATGGAAATGCTTGCTTTGAAAGAATATTATAAATTGTCTTAGATGGCCAGAGTTAAGCTTCAGCATTCCCCTGGGCAGAGGTTTGGACGTTCTGGAGAGGAGATGCAGGATGACTGGGCACCATCAGCAGGGTTTGATGCTCCTTTTCCACCACAAACTCTTGGGAACTACAAGTATATGTCATGATTTGATATGCTCTTACTGTAATGGTTGATAAAAACATTGATACTGATAGTGATGGGGATCCCAATGACATGATGTCTTCTGATCCCTGTGGAGTGCCCTATGCCATGGGTATGGACAAGGACACATACCAGAGAATGATTTTGATGCCTTTCACATACCTGGGCCTGGTTTTCACACTCCTTTTGTGCTCTATGTACACCAGATTCAAGCGTGGGAAGCCTGTCAGCCCCTGGAGTTGCTGTCCTTATTCCGCAGTGGGAGGTATAGTAGACAATAAATGAAGCCTTCCTGAATCAAACCTGTATTGAGCAAGATATGTTGATGCTAATAGGGTCAGCGGGACAATTGACTGGAAGTGGAGCAGCAGGAACCATTGGTCCAGATGGCACTATCGTTGGGTCTGGCCAAGGCCAAGGGAGCGAGTACGCTAGCGTGCGGCAGGGCGGTACGATAATCGGCGTTACAGCCGGACCAGGAGGCATGGGCGGAGTAGGTGGAGCCCCAGGTCCCGGTGGCAGCTACGGAAGCGTAGGTGGGGGCGGGTCCGTTGCTGGAGCTCCGATGGGGGGCGGGTCCGTTGCCGGTGCACCAGGCAGTGTCGCTGCGGGAGGCGGCCCTGCTGGGGCTCCCCCGGGCTCTACCGCAACGGCCCCCAAAGAGAAAACACCGCTGCCTTACGAACGCATCCCAACGCCGGGGGTGTCACCGTATCTGTGGAGCCCTCCGGCCACAGTGTTCCAACCATCTCCTACACCAGCGGGTTCGTTCGCAGGGAGCCCGACTGGTGGCGCTGATGCCGACGGTGATGAGTCGGATGGTGTGGCCAACGAAGACGGTTACATGCGCGGGAAGCATTGACAGCGTGACGTGTGTTCCCGACTTTCATCCGCGTTTGAGTGTTCGTGTATCTCTCTTGTTACATCTGCCTTTTAAGCATATAAGAATGATCATTGAAACAAACGAACTATTCTCATTTTCCTCACCGAAGTTTGATGAATCCCTGTATCGAACGCTCATGATGTAAACTGCATTCCGTAATTGGACTTGTCAGTTGCTGCGCTCTTTGTTCGACTTCTTCACGGCGGGCACCATGTTCTAGGAAAGATTGTCGCCGCGGTTCCTCGGACACTACTCTCGCATCAATTTGAGTCACCTCACGAGAAGTGAAGAAATATTCGCTCATTTGTATCCCCTGTGTTAATTTTGAGTGAGCAGAGTGACACGAAGTGAGTCGCTTTCGACAAGACCGAAAGCGAACAGGAATAAATGCACAGTTGTTCATCATCGGTCGTTCCTGTGTTCAATCTCGAACGATTCGTTCATTTTGTGTAATCCCATGAATCACGATCACCTGTCAGTTTTTGTGTGAATACCATGTCGGAGAACGTGTCGAGTCTATGATCCGCATATGTTGGAAATTACGCGATGACGAATCCGTGCGGAGGTGGTTAGTGAGTGTTCGCTTGTGAACGATTGTCATGCTGTAATTCCTGTTTCCGTAGAGGCGTAGATTGACAATAAGTTCGTAATATATGACCTTGTGAGTCCATGCCGAAGTAGGAAGATTGATGGTATGAATTGATTGCCCTCGACTGAGCTGCTGAAGTAATCGTGTTGGTTGGATCTTCGAAAGTGGAAGGAAATCTTACGATTGAAGCGGTATGCTGGGTATTCGTACAGTTTCGTGGAAATGACGCTGTCGATCGTGATGCATGTTACAATTTCTGCGGAACCAAGTTGGCTCTGGAATGCTGTGGAATTGAGGAATTATGTTTCAGTGATGTAGTAGTGTTTTGCTGACTATGCTACACTGATGAACGCGTTTCAGGCTCGGACGGCAGTGGAAAGTGTGACACTCAGAAATCAATCAGATATCAGAGATCAATTTTCGCTATTTACTGTCTAGCTTTTTTCCTTTTTGTGCTTTCTTCGTTGTTTCGATGCATTACGGACGCATTTGTGGTTTCGCGGTACTGTTTTGTTGGTGGGATGCTCTGAATTCAATTCCTTCGGATCTGGTGCACCCGGATCACCTTTCGAATCGATCGTGTCGAAATTCATCATTCTATTTTTTTTTCTGAATAGAGGATGCTAAGGAATGGTGAAGTGGTTTTTGCGAAACCTGGGTTTTACTGTTTCGCGAACTACTTCACCGTCTCTGTGTGCTCCTCGTCATGAGAGGAATTCCTTGGGAAGAACGCGGTTCGGTGTGTTGGGTGTCATCTCACGGATTCATACATCCAGGACATTGATGTTGAAAATTGTTTGTTTGGGAAGGAATGTTGAAGTGGAGAACGTTTTAGGAGTGCAGTACAATTTGTTTTCCTAATCGAGAACACAAAATGGAGGCGTGGACAATTTTGAAAGGAAATTAAAATCCTGAGGGAATTTGAATTTTTGTGGTGTTCGTAATTTTGCACGTTTTTAATAATTCTCAATTTCAAAGTACTATAGTGACTAATGTTTTATTTGTATTATCGTACGTTTTTAAATTGTTCATGCTCATGTTGTTCATTTCTCTTTCATAAATTTTTACTCTGGAACCAATTCGAAGATTTTCCATTGGTTACTTCAGGAAATTGTGCCTTAAATAAAGTTTTGGGCTACAAATGACCAACCCCTGGAAAATATTAGATTTTCTTTCCAGGGCCCCACTGTAAACATAGTTCAACTTCAATGAAGAATAGATGATGATTGGATTAGAAGTAGAGACCTCTGTATTGTCCATTCCAAATACATATGTTTTGCTCTTAGAGTATAATGTTGTTGACATATGTCACAGTTTTCTTCAGACTGATGATGATTTTGTTGCCACAGACTCTTTATTCATCTCCACCGTTTTGTGCCTTCCACACTGGCCTTCATGGACATGAGCAAATCACCAAAGCGATTTCTGGTCCAAGCATGTTTCTTGCACTCCAAGTCTCTGCTTGCCTTCAACTTGTGTGTCCCCAAAAGGAAATTGTCCCTTGATGGTCTATTTGCTGGTACTTCTGGAGGTATGTCATCAAGATGATGGTCTTCATAGTAATAGTCATAGTTGTTGTAGTCTTCAGAGTCAGATGAGTATTCCATGGACCGCTTGATTCTCCTGCTGTGCTGGATCATCCTTGATGGTAGAAAGGATTGCCAGGGACCCATCAGCAGAGGAGATTTTCTGGAGGAGTTGATGACTGCTGGGCTTTTGGGCATCATCAGGAGGGCTTGCATTTGGAAAAAAATGCCCTTTGGCCCTGTGAATGAGGTACAAGAAAATAATCCTGCTACAATCTGAGGTGAGAGACATTTATTTTATAAGCTGGAACAATTCATTGTGTAACTTTAGTATTTAAAATAAAATCGCAGGGATCATAAAAATGGTTTTAACATGCAGACCCCTGATCAACAAATCTCTGGCTCTCAGAAAAAAATGACCTAGTTAATGAACTAAAATATGGTCAACAAATTCAAAAAATGTTTTTTTTCTGGCAGAAATTCCTTAGTTGATGAAACAAAACATTTGTGGAAAAACTGCAGTGAGGAGGACTCCTGAGAAAACAAATTTTCTGTCACTGACATTATTATTGGAGTAATCTGATTCAAGTCAAGCACACTTATTTGTGACACTGCTGCTGCTGTGTCTGTTGTGGATAATAACCAATCATTTTGAATTGCACCATGCAGAGAAAGGAGGAAACTTCAGGAATAAAAGTCATGAATGTTGATCATTTTATGGGAAACAATCAAACAACAGAGAACCATAAAAAATATTTGCTGCTATGAATCTTGAGAAGTCATTAAATAATATATTTTTTACAGCAATATGCCTGTATTATATTTCTGACAAGACCTTTATTGAAACATAGTGTTAATGCATGAACTTATGAAGAATAATTTGTTGCCCAAGAATTTGTTGTTATGGAATTTTTCTTTGCACCAAAAAAGTCTTGGGGATGGATAAAATTTGTTAAAATACAAGATTTGTCATGATTACTGTATATTAAAAATACTTTTTTTGTCTCAACTGCATAGACCTTGAAAATTGTTGTAATCCTCAATTGTTTATTGCATGAGTTTTCAATCAGAAATCACCTAAAGTAGTTGAAGTACAGTAGGTACAGAACACATTTCAAAGATATTTAGGATGAATCAGCCATTGGCTGCATGTTGCTTTGCTGAGTGTTGCAAAAGTTTAATGGACCAACACCAATTGTTTTTGGTATGCAAGACACCACTGTATTCACATTCTATGTGAGTTTATATTAGTCACAATCAAGGGGTACCCAAACCATTCCAGGGCATCATTTGCAAAGTTTTTCAAAAGTAGAACATTGTTTTTCAGTATATTTAGTGAGTCACATGTTCAAGGTTCATTGGTAATAACTGAAAAACTTGCTTGAGGGTAATTAGCTCTGACATTTTTGTCCTCTTCAGTGAATAAGCTTTAGATTGAAGCTCACTTCCATGGGAGCCCATTTTAGGAAACAGTGAACATATTGCAATGTCAATTTATCAGAGGGGTTCTAACCAAGTTCATGCTTCATCCCTGCAATCCAATCACCAATTCCAGACTCATCTGCAACCCCTTTTCCAACATCTACAAAAGGGTTAGGAGTGTTTTTGCAGAAGTCTTGAGAACAGCGCTGTTGGTTGACCTCCCTTAATGAAGAAGCATCATCCTGCTGCTGCTTGGGAGTCTCATATATGTCTGCCAAGCTTGCTCCCAATAAGTCTTTGTCTTCTTCATCTTGACTCCACAGACAAGGATCAACAAGCAAGTCCACAAAATCATCTCTGAGAATTGATGGGAAGGGTTCCAGAGTTGTTCTTTGGTCTTCCACAATAGTTGCATCACCTTTGAATCAAAATTCAGGAGTGGTCTGATGTGCTGCAGAAAATTTCAACTTCTAAGGAGAATTATAGACATGAGAATGGTACTTCTGATCATGGGTTGTTTGAAAAATAAATTTTTTTAAGCACCCGAGTGGGGAAATTGGTGCACACTGGGGATTTGTTTGTAATTCTACACAGTGATCCCGCTGTGCACCTGAAGTGTACCAAAGTTCTTCTGTTGCACATGCATATCCACAATGTGCACCAATTGTGTGTTCACACCAGGATTACTCAGGGTCACATTTGTGAACAAATAAGTTACACCAAGGTTACTGTTGGTGCATTTGTGTGATGCTCCTGTTATGTCACATTTGTGCACCAAGTGTAACCCTGGAATGGTAGCAAAATTTCCTCTGCAGGAGTGCACACTTGTAACCCCAGAATATGCCATATGCACCAGTTGTGACCCTGGTGTGCACCTACTATGGGGTTACATCAAAAATAGCTCCCCACTCAGGCAGCTCTCAGATTGAGTTTTAAGAATGGCATCCAAATGCGCCAGAGTTCCACTTCAATTGAAAGAAATGCTGTTGTTATCTGTTGCATTACATATATACTGTACAGTACTTTTTTGTGCTTGAAAACCAGGAACAAGTTGAAATTGAACATGACTGAAATTGAACTTGCAAACTGCTTTGAACCTTATTGTGATTGCTGACAAGTGCAAATGAAGCATACTTATCAATCAATCAACATAACCATACTCTTCATTGCTTGAAACTTCAATGGCAGTTGTTCCAACTGAAGTCAGCAGAAACCAGCTCAGATATCTTGCCCAGATTTTTAAAATTGGCACTGTTGCTCTCTCTCTCTCTGCACAAATATTTGAGGCAAAAGCCACACACCTGATTTCTTGAGCACAGTTTCTGAATAAAAACAGTATGAAGCTGAGCAAATAAGGTACTGTAGAATGGCATTCACTGTGTTAGCAACTTTTTTATTTACTTATTCAAGTCTCTTAATGAAATGCACTTTTTTTGTAATGCGCAAAGGCTGCTTTTCCAGGTCCCAAAGTAATGGCTTTGTTGCAGCAAAAAGATTATACTGTATTCTTAACACATAGACACACCTGCTGAGAACATGGTGAGGACACACAGAAGTTGCATGCATAGTCTGCCATCATCAGACATGACCAGTTTCTGAATACTGTGGAACACTATGTTCACTCCATAGTCCACAAGGGAGAACTGAAGAACACAGTGTTGGCTCCAGTCCCTCCTCTCCTCTTATCAAGCAAATATATGTTTTTTTTCTGTGAGAAAAACAAAACTGAATTTTAAAGGCCCTTTTGCAAGAAATAAGCAAAATGCACAGAGTTGGAAAGAAACCAGCAGCCCAGGTTTTCATTCATTGCCACCAAACTTCCAAGCAACAAAATTGGAATTTTTATTTCCCTTCTTGAACTCAGGAGTTTCCCAGGACCTTTTTAGAAACATGGTGCTCAGGTGATTGGTAGCTGGTTCCCAACACCTGTAACATCAAACAAAAACAATGACAGCATAAATAGAGAAAAATAATGCCCCACACAAAAAACCTCTTCCATGATAAGCTCAACCACTGTATTGTTGATGCGCTGTGCCTCCTGAAACTCTGCTAGTTTCTCCTTCTCCAGTGAATTGATGACTCCACTGCCCTTGGGATCAGTGATTGCATCAATCAAGGGATCAATTGTGTTTTGAGGAGATCTTTTCTGCCTAGAGATGGATTTTTTGATTGCAGTGGGATCACTTTTCTCCTGGGCAATGGATATCCTGAACTTGAATCTCTTCTTCCTCATGCTTGCTTTCTTTGGTGAGGTGACATGGATTGATTTGCTGCTAAATGGTTTTGTACTTGGATTGGTTGTCTTTGAGCTCTGTGACTTCCTGAGGTTTTCTCTTGGTGATTTTGAAAAGAAAATGTTTTCTTCCATGACGGGTTTTGAACGGCTTCTGCGCTTGGACTCAAAAAAGCAGGGAACCCTAAAGTTGCATGCCACCAAAGTACACCTGCACAATTCAAAAGCACATGCTGAATTATTATAATTTTTAATTTCATCAGTTTAATTTTCAAGCTCATGTTCTACATATTTTTGTTGTTGTGAAATTCCACCCTAATGCCTCATTGCACTTAGTAGTAAATTAGTATGAAATTGGTAATATGGTAAACATTCTTTACAAAATGCTTTGTTTCTGAGGGAGTCTTATTTTAATATTTTTCTTCCAATTATTGCATCAATAATTTTATCTTTAAGCTCATGTCCTACATCCTTTTGTTCTGAAATTCCAAACTTTGGTTTTATTGGAATCAGTCCTAAATTAGTATTTGATTAGTAACAAATGCTCCTAAAAAGCTTTGTTTTTGACTTTGTACTGCAGAAAGTCTAATTTTTCCTATCCTCCTGCCAACAACTGTCTACATTAATACCTGTATGGTACATGCACAAAATGTGGAAAAATGTGTTTCGCAGTACATTGGTGTTACAGGTGGAAATGAGTGTTAGAATTGAAGTGCTATTGCATGATCTCAGTAAAATTTTTGGCAAAATTAAAATGAATTGAATAGCTTTTAACTTGCATTTGTTTTATATCTTCAACACTGTTAGTAAGGCCTGTACTGTATACTAATTAATTCATATGGTAATCATTTAGCATTGCTGAAGTTGCCAGAAGTACTGATGCATTTGTAATAGCTTATGACCTGCACCCCATTCTTTGTCTAGGTTTAAAAAAAGATGCTCATGGTACTTTAAATACAGTACAGGTATTTTAAAATTAACAAACACATGAGAAAAAATAGTTTAAAAAAAGGACATACCCCAGGCAACTGTCCCTGATTTCCACATGCTTGTCTAGCTCTTCAGAAGTAACATCATCCCTGTCCTCTGAGTTCCAAAACTTTCCCCTTGTCTTCATGATGTCAATAAGATTCTCTTCAAGAATATTTTCCCTGCTCTTGCTTGAACTCATTGAATGAGAATTTGAAGAGTGGTTTGAAATAGCACCAGGTGTGGATTTCTTGATGGACACTGTTGTTGATGGTCTCTGGGTGGATTTCATGTGGTTGGCAGAATGATTTTTCTGACTTTGAGTAGTGATGGCAGCCATCCTATCAAAGACATCATTCTCCATGGATTTTGTAGTGGGTCTGACAGAAGGTGTCAGGGCATGCTGCAATTGCTTGTGCTTTTTCATGACTCCCAGTTGATGCAACTGGAGCATTTGCAATTTTGACACCAGGTCCTTCTGCTCCTCCCTCATCAACTTCATTGCCTTTTCTGGACCTTGCAAAGAGCTCAATACTTCCTAAAAACATGTATCATGATCAATGAGAAATCATTTCAAAGTCTGTCATGTTACTTGCATTTACTTTGGGTATCAGAATTTCTGCAGAGTTAATTGGCTGTTTTTCTGCACTCTGAGGTGGAAGAGCATTCTGAGGTGTTTCAACAAGAGGAAGATCTTTTGCCTTGAGATTCCCAGAAACTGGGTCAGACATCACAACTGATTGGATGTCTCTCTTGAACAGAGCTTGTGACCTTTTTCTGCTGCACTGTGTGTTTGTTCTGTGGGAATTTCTACAAAAAAAATTATCACAAAATTGATCAATTTCTGGATTAGTTTTCTTTACACAATGAACATCCTGAAAATGTAAAAATTTATTTTTTCTAAAGTTGCAACATAAAATTCTGCTTCACCCTGAAGATGAAACTTATTGTGAACATTAAATGGTTGTTTTTTGTGCAGAATTCCTGCAGAAATGCATGAGATCAAAAATTCTTGGGATCATACCAGTTGACAAAAAAGGTTTTTTTAACTTCTTGATATTGCATTTGTTGCTCTTTTCTTGTGACACTAAAAAAATTGACATGCTGAAGTTTATCTATATATATTTATATATCAATCTATTTAAGTATCTATTTGTATTATTTACTTCTTCAGCACAAAAAAAAAAGAATCTGGACCCAAATAAACATTTCTTTTTTGAAAAAAGTATTATTAAATTATCTGAATAACATTTTGGCCATTGGAACCCAAAAAACAAATCTGTTATAACAAGATTTTTTGCAATGAGATTCTGCAGTATTTTTTCCTGGGAAATATTAAGATGTGGAACATACTTTTTGTGCAAGTCCATTTCTGGCCTCTTGAAAATGTCACTATGCTAATTTTTTATAGTATGGGGATTTTGTTTAGCTTGATCCCATTTTATCTAAGAATTCCATCTCATTTATGCCACAGTGCATTTGTAAAGGGCCAGAGTTGAAATTTTTCTTTTTCAGGTCACCTTTTAGGGGCATAAAGCTCCTCAGTGTTACCACTTTCAGGAAAGAGTTTCTTGACCTTCTTCCGGATGTAGCTTGGAGGATGAATGCCAGTGTTGTGTATAGCATGCAACTTGTACTCATTGGCAAGGGAACCTTTTTGCAAGAAACTTTCTGGGTAAGGGTCATGGCCATTGTTGGTGATCTCCAAAAGCTTCTCCTCCCTCCTTTGAGCATCTGTGAGAAACTCTCCCACTTGGAAATCTGGTCTGAATTGCCTAGTCTGGATGATCAAAATTTTAAACTGTGTTAGTTGTAAAAAAAAGAAAGAAAAAAACTGAAAGAATGATAGGCTGCTCACAGGACTAAGCAAAGTTCTTCATTGCTGTCTTAATTAAAGAAAAGGGAAATTTAGAAGATGAATACCCCAGTTGAAAAGGCACACACTGAACAAGTAATTTTTTATGTAACACCTCAAGCATGACTCTTACCAATTTTGAGGGAGAAACCCAAGCAAAAATTCAGAATAAGCCCCTTGATTTCTGTAAAACTTTATCAGTATAGGACTACTATAGGGAACAGATATGAAAAAAGGCCACAAAGTCTCACTTACAAAGATGAACCTCAAACAATTCTCCAAGCACAAATATTATTTAAATTCAATGAGCCTCCATGTATATGTGCTAGTACCATTTTTTATGCACAAATGACAATTGTGTGACAAATGCAAGACATATTATTTTTAACTAAAAGCCTAAAAAACTTACAGTAGGCCCCAAAATTAAAAAAAATTCATATGGGGACATTTGCTAATCAAATTTTTTAAATATTGAGACAGGAAGTTCTCAAGATAGAAACACGTTGCCAACTTCTCTGGAAAAATATTTTTTTTTTACTTCTTTTTATTTGTGTTATCAATTTGTGCTTTCCTGCTCTGAAGTGATTAAAATGTCATTGAGTGGATTTGGGTTGGGTGGGAAGGGGGTTTGGTTGTGGAAATCTTGATTGAACCTTGTGATTGCTGAAAAGCAGCAAATAAAGTGTTCTGTTCATTCATTCATTCAAAAATTTTTTCTAAATTTTGGTATCTCTTGAAGAAATCAAGCCATTTCCATGAACAAAAATTCAAAATCTATCTCATTATAAAATTCCACAAATTCATAATCCAAAACAAGATGCAGTATTTTTTGCTTACCTTCTTATGTTTCTTCAATCAAATGTTCATGGAATAGCAAGATGTGTGTTCATTGTTTTGCTTTTTGGTCTCGTTTGTTCATGCCAAAAATAGAGGATTCTTTGGGTTTCCTTCAGCATAGTTTTTGCAGCATTTAATATTTGATTACTTGACAAATTTTTCCAAAAAAGTGGAAGTGATTGAAATTTTCTTGATTGATGCCTTTGGAAAAACATGATCCAACAAGCAGATGTTCTGACATGTACAAAGGTTCAAGAAATGATGCTGTTGAGAAATAAATCATAGTGATACTATAGAAATGATAATCTCAATTAAAGTCCAATTCCATTTTAAATCCAATTTTTGATTCACTGTAGGAACATTTTCAATCACTCCCAATGCAAGGCTGGAGATTTCATACTCTCCTGCGCATAATATTATAGAGAGACCCCCACATGCGGACACCATGACCTGCAGACAATTTGACATAGGGACACTTATTTTTCCATAAAAAAATTATAAAAAAGGCCCAACATGAATACACTGACTCAACATAGGGACATTTTGTGATGAAATTGCAAATACATTCCAGGTCAAATTCCAAGAAACAGATATTTCCAAACCTAAAATTGATGTAAGAAACGTTGTTGGGCATTTCTCTCACCAATTTACCATCCATTCAGCTAATTAAAAAAAATTACCTTCAGCATAGAGGGACTTATTTCTTATCTCTTTTTCACTTGAATGTTATTTTTTATGAAACATGTATTTCCAACGCTAAAATTGATGTAAGAAAAGTTCTTTGGCATTTCTCTCACCAATTTAACATCCACTTAGCTGATTTAAAAAAATTACCTCCAGCATAGAGGGACTTATTTCTTATCTCTTTTTCACTTGAATGTTATTTTTTTTACAGAGAATGCCAACATTTCTATGTACTGTACAGAGGTAGTATTATTCAATTTCCCAAATGTCCATATTGTGTTGAGACTCAACTATATTGATTGAATCAGTTTAAATTGTAAGACAATTATTATTTTCATGGAATTATGGTGAGTATTTTGTTCACCAAACACCAATTAAAAAAATGATATAATGTAAGTCAAAGGGAAAATGAGACTCAACTAAGGGACATTTTGATTGAATATATTGATTGAATCAGTTTAAATTGTGAGAAAATTATTATTTTCATGGAATTATGGTGAGTATTTTGTCCACCAAACACCAATTTAAAAAATGATATAATGCAAGTCAAAGGGAAAATGAGACTCAACTAAGGGACATTTTGACTTGGGGACACTCTTGATGCATAAATTACATCTGCATCTTGGGGTCTCACCGTGTGATTTTTTTAAACTTGGTTTTCCAGAGAGAAAAAAGTTGAGATTTTTTTTTTTTCTTTTTCAGATACCTCTGCCAAGTCATGCAACAAGGCCTCGTCAAACAGGGTCTCGTTTTCCGCTGACACAGGAGGTCCTTCGTGTCTGGACCAGGGTTGTTTGCTGGCAAACTCAGGTGGGGTCGGAAAGGTCAAAGCCGGGTCATGAGTGGACACGAAGCCGTCGTATCCACTGTTGTTGCTGCTGCTGCTGGACAGGCTTTGCAGGAACGTGGACGACGCACTGCTGCTGACATCTTGCGGCGGCACTTGGTACCTGGTGGCAGAAAGGATCTCTTTCTGGATCTTCAATCCTATGGCGTCGATTTTCGCGTGGTTGGCTGCCAACAACCGGATATCCTCAACTTCGTCTGCTGATGATGTCTCGGGACGAGACTTGGTGGAGGTGGGTTTCCATTCTCTGCAAGAAAAAAAATGATAAGTTTCCCAGTAAAGAACCAAACATAATTCACACTGTTTGTTCTTGCAGAAGAAGGCAGTAAAATCTCATTACTAAAATGATCTAATTGTCTTCTAATTTTAATCTGGCAAAAAATTGCACCTTTATTCATTATTTTAAATGCATTAGCTATCAATAATAAATTTAATTCATTAGGATTTTTATTATTAATCATAATATTACCATGAGTGTCATTAAAAATATCTTACGGATAGCTAATACATTCAAAATAATGAATAAAGGTGCAATTTTTTGCCAGATTAAAATTAGAAGACAATTATATAATTTTAGGAACTAACTTTTGGGGACTGCAGCAACATTTTGTTGGACTAAATAATTTTGTTATACAGTAAAATCTTGTTGCAACAAATACTGCAACAACAGATTTTCCTGTATAAAAAACTATTTTCCAAATCCCACCAGAAATTCTAAAGGGTACATTTTATAAAAATATTGTTACAACAAATTCTCCAATTCCAGTGTAAAGGTGGGTTTCCATTCTCTGCAAAAAAAAAATTGTTCTCCAATAAAGAACCAAGAATTATTCACACTGTTTGTCCTTGCAGAAGAAGGCATTAAAATTTTATTACAGCTAATGTTTGGGGACTGCAGAAAAATTTTGTTATGCAGTAAAATCTTGTTACAACAAATACTGCAACAACAGTTTTTCCTGCATAAAAAACTATTTTCCAAATCCCACCAGAAATTCTAAAGGGTACATTTTATAAAAATATTGTTACAACAAATTCTCCAATTCCAGTGTAAAGGTGGGTTTCCTTTCTCTGCAAAAAAAAGTATCTTTTCCAGCAAACAGCCAAAAAGTATTCACACCATTATAGTAATTGCAAATGAATACAGTAAAATCTTGTTTTAAAATTTTTTGGGGATTAATTTTATGTACAGTAAAATTTTGTCACAAAAATTACCATTACAATAATCTCAGTATAACAAAAATCTTTTCAAGTCCCAGCAGAAATCCTATGGGGTGCATGTTGTAAAATCTTGCTACAACAAACTCTCCAATTGCAGTATAACAAACTTTTTTGAGGAACATGTTGCAATTTTCCTGATGAAATACTGTATTCCAATAAGGCAGGCAAAGTCTCTAATTTCCCATTCAAAATGTGACTGACTGGTTCTTGGGAATGAATGAAAGGTGGAATCAAGCACAAGAATTCTTTTGAATTCCCCTGAACATCCTCTCTTTCAAAAATTGTTCATTGGTTAGGAAAGGGGGGGGGGGGGGGGGGGGGGGGGAAAAAGGGGTT